GACTTTCATCACAGAAAAGCTTTTCAGAACACATTAGTGAGAGGCATAGGCAGATTTATTAAGCACAATCAAAGAAGTACACACTTAGAAGGGAGTATGGGTGCTTGAAGATAAGTTGCATTATGGTTTGGGGGCTATTTGTGTGGTGTTAGGGATCCCCTCAAGAAAAAAGCCTTAACAGGACTTTTCTTGGAACTTCATAAAATTATGTTAAACTTTCTATAGAGAAATAAATGCCTGGGAATAGCTAGGAAAACTATAAAAAGGGAAATGGAACTTGCCTTCCTAGAGATTGGGGAATTCTATAAAGCCACTAAAATCAATATGTATAGGTATAAAAATAGACAAAAATTAATGAATGCATCTACAAAATCTAGAATTAAATACTGGTATATTTAAGAAATTAGTGTATGACAACTGTAGTTGTTCAGTCCTGGAGGGAAAGCATAGCCTATTTAATAAATGAGATTGGCATGACAGTGTATCCATATGGAATAATATAAAAATAAACCACACATTATACTATATAAAAATAAATTCCTGGATGTAAAGGCTTAAATGCAAAAAATAAAACCTTGCAAGAAAATCCAAGAGAGTAAATGTATCGTCTAGGGAGGTTGGCAAAATCATTTGCAAGACCAGAAGTTATAAAAGAAAATGTGGATATATTACCATTTGAAATATAAAACTTTTATATGGCAAAGGTAACATGAACAAACAGACAAACAATAGATGTGGAAACAATTTATAATTCAAATGTTAAGGTTCAACTTTTATAGTGTATAAAAATTTTATAAAATAACAAGAAAAATACGTATAGCCTAAAAGAAATAAACAAAAATATGGGTATGTAATCCACAGAAGGAAAAAGCCAAACACGTGAAAAGATAGTCAAAGAATATAAGATATCATTAGAGATATCATTTTATACCCATCAGATTCATAAAACATATAACAAACTATAGCATCTAAATATCTAATGCAAGTAAAGAAGGGAAAAAAGGGATTTTCATATATTGCTGATGATAATGCCATTGCCACAGGTTTGGGGACAATGATAATCAAATAAAAGCTCTTAATTTTAAAAAGTGATTATACTACTCAGTAATTTGACCTCTGGCAATCTATCCCATCAGTAGGTATAGATTAGTACCTCCATGTAGTTACAGATATACATTATTCAATTGCAGTTTTGCATTAGTGGTCAAGAACAATTCACTAGGTGTCCCTTCTTGAGCAGGGCACTCTGAGGCTCTCTTTTTAAAGCTAACTCAAACGAGTTTGCTTTTATCCTTTACATCTTGGAGCCAGTGAAAGGTGAGGTCTTGCTTATTCCTAAGATACCCTCAAGCCATCTTTACTATTGTTCTGATATAAAGTACTTGACTTTTTTTTTTTTTTTTTTTTGCTAATCGTATCATCATTAGGAGCAAAAAGCCCAACTTTGCAGGTGCTTCCTTTCTGATGAAACTGAAAACTTTTCAAATGGGCTTTTTGTTTCTATTTCTCACTGTAAATCTCACCAAAAGTAGCAGGCAATAGCCATGCTACAACCTAAATGTTGGGATGCCTTGAAATTTCCATCAGACTAATTAGTTCACCTCCCTTAGTCTCCTGCAGTCACAAGACATTGGCAAAATGTAGACAAAATTTCTCCCAGAGCATAACACACATGGTCTCAAGTCCAACTCCCAATAAGAGTCTTTGTTCCCAACTGAAACTTCCTGAGCCTGGCCTTTATCATCAGTGTCTCTATCAGCATTCTGGTCTTTGGATTTTTGACCAGTATTGCACATCAACCACTGCTCAAAACACTGTAGGGCTTCTCTAGCCTGCTTCTCCAAACTTTTGCAAACTCCACCTGCAAGCCTGTTCCAAAAGCTTCTGAACCACATGGTCAGGTAGTATCTCAGCACCTTCTCTGGTGCCAAAATCTGTTACTTTCCTCGTAGCTGGATCAAAATACCTGACAACTGTAACTTAAAGGAGGAAAAGTTTATTTTGGCTCACTTTCAGAAGCTCCAGTCCATGGTCAGCAGGCTCAAACACAGGGGAAGGGACCTGCTGCAGAGGAAGGCTGCTCACATCATGGCAGCTATGCAGCAAAGAGAGAAGGCAGGACCTGGGGAGGGAGATATGCCCTTCCAGGTCACCAGTGACCCACCTCTAACCAGGCCCCACCTCCTAACAGCAAGTCAGCTAATCCACTGAGTATAGTGCCCTATGATCCAATCATCTTCCAAACACATGAGGCTTTGGGGGGATAACCCAGATCTAAACCATAACAATACCATTAGTTGAGAACAGCAGAATGCAGAAAATTATATACATATTGTAATCCCATTTTATATAGCACGCAGTACTGAAGCCACCTTGATTATGTATTGTGTATGTAAATATATGTATATGAGGACATATATGGGTCTTTTTAGATTAATATGCAGACAGATAATGTAGAAGCACATACAGCAGGTTAATGTGAGACAAAAGGGATACATGAGGGCCATGCTGATGTCAGGGGAGGGAAGGTAAAAGGAAAAATGTGCCTTTGTTTTTAAAAAAAATATAATGATCTAGTTTATTTAAAAATAATTACAGAAATCAGAAACAAGTCCTACCAAGTTTTCAAAATGAAGGCTCAGTAAATGACATGTTATATAACTCAAGCACATTGCATACAATTAACATTCACTCATTGCCTGGTTAAAAATATAAAGCCTGGAGCTTATTAACAAATAGTAAAGGAGCCAAAAACTGTCACCTGCTAGCAATATGGTGGACTCAGACAGCCTGAAAATCCTTTTACTACAATCATTTAGAAATACTGGTAAATGTAACATAATTATTTTAAATGTTTAACTAGGCTCACAAATAATAAAAGCAAATACCCAGGTGCCAGAAATAAAGAGGAAAATGAAAAAGCAGAGGGGAATGTACTTGGGCTAATGGGGGTGTTTGTCTCCAGAACCCAGGGGTTTGGGATTTAATGCCCACACAGGGACAGGAAATGAGGGAGGTAGGGAATTAAACTGAGAACTTATAAAGCCAAGACCCTCAAAGAACTATTTTATTTATGAAAGGATTTAAAAACAAGAAAGACCACAGGACATAAGCCTTTGGTTGGGAAAATAATAAAAACTCTCAGAGAACTCAAAACCACAGGACCACAGTTCACATTGCTTTTACTCTACCCACGTAGTTTAGAAACTCCAGACTAAAAAGTAATATAAGACTAATTTCTCAAGCAGCGATACTCCTGGGCTACAAGACAGAAGGAAACAAATCTGCGGAAGAGAAGATCTCACATCCCAAATATGGTCACACACAAAAAATACAAGTACTGCTGAGTTCACAATAAAAAATTATAAAGCACAAGAGAGAATAATCAAAACTGATCAAGTATCTGCACACATCAGCATACAATTATACCCTCCACAAACTCCAAATACACAGATAACCAGAAAGAGATTACAAATGCATATAAAACTGAAGACTAGAAAAGTAATCAAATCCTAAAAATAGAACTTAACTGAAAAAAGAGCAAGCAGAATTTAAAAAATAGAACAAAACCTCATAATATATCCCAGCATAAATCATTTTTAGTAAGATTATAGGAGTTACAATAAATTCCTCATTAAAAGACAGAATACAAAAATATTTGGGAAAAATGTGCCAAGTTCATAGATGGGAAGATTCAATATAGCAAAATGACAGCTTTCTCCAGGTTAACTTATAACCAATACAACTCCCATCAATATCCATAGAGGATTTCACAGACTTGACAGGATGATCCTAAAATGTGTACAGAGAGCTAAAGTGCCAACGAAATTCTGAAGAATAAAGATGCCCCATTGAGGGAGGGGCTCATGCTACCACATAACGAGACCATTATAAACCTGTAGTATTCAATACCTGAGGTATTTGTGAGAGGATAAAGATATTAATAGATGATTTTTAAAAAAACAGACTAAAAGACACACCCATGTGTGGGGGGGAGCTTACTGGAAGACAGAGGTACCATTACAAATGAGTAGGAAAGAATGAACTGTTCAATAAATGGTGCTCCTCTATCATACCCTAAAATCGTTTCCAGTGAGTGAAAGAGTTAAATACTCTTGAAAAGCAAAAAAAAAAAATTTTTTTTGAAGAATATAAACAGTCAATTATTCACAGTAGTTATGTTCTATAAACTCTCCAAGAACACTGAACTGAATTGCCAGTGCTGAAACATTGCTCCTCAGGGAATTACAGCCCTTGGTCACATTTTTGTCAAGTGATCAATACATACCTTGTTTTATGTGTTTCTGCTTACGGACATCTCATTTATTGCATATTGGTGATTCATTAACCCTGAACTTAGGGCCAGCAGCACTATCACACATGCCTAACTTAATCTTATTTAACACATCTTTTTCTGTAAGGCACCTCGCAGCCTTCTTGTAATTAGGAACACTAGGCAGTGCTTCCACACTATGCTTGGGAACCATTTTAAACAGCAAAACCACTAACAGAAACGTGAAAAATACGACATTAACTGCATCTTCAGAAGGACACTTGTGTACAGTGTGAGAGTTGAAACAAGACCAGAGTGTCTCCATGTTTGCCCTCAGCTGGGAATATGTGTGACAATTTTTCACTACCTTTGCACGTGGCTACTGCATATCTTGACTCTGGATTAGAAGTTTAGTGAGTAAGCGAATTTGCAAATATGGGACCTGTGAATAATGAGGATCGACTGTACATGATATCTCCAGAGCTGGAGAGGATTTTCCTGAAGATACAAAACGCAGGAAGAGTCTGACAAACTGAACAAATAAAAGCTTAAAATTTCTCTCTGAAAATAAACGCCAGAAGGAAAGTGAAAAATCGAGTCACAGGCTAGAAGATCTCTGCTTCACAAATAAAGAATCCTGGACTAGTATCAAGAATAATTTTAGGTCTTTTCGAGGAGGCGGCAAGATGAGCAGAAGTAATCCCGGATCTTGGGCAAGTTCACCTACCTGTGGTGTGGAGTGGACCAGCTGCTGGACGTGTCCTAGGGCAGCTGAAGTAGCGGTTCACAAGGCAGTAGCCTAACCATGGCCTACAGGCCTGGCCTGCGCAACACTCGCTGCTGAAGCGCCTGCGCAAGACCAAGAAGGCGTGGCTGTGGAGAAGCCAGAGAGGGCGGAGACACACACCTGTGAGACAGGTTCTTCCTGCCCAAGAAGGTGAGCAGCGAGGTCAGTGTTGAAGGAGAAGGGAAAAGGGAAGGGGAGGAGGGGAGGAGGAAGAGGAAGAAGAAGAAGAAAAAGAAAGTTTTAAAGTTCCTAGAAATCACTAAGAAAAATATAACTAGCCATTAGAAAAATTAGCAAAGGATAAAAACAAGCACTTTAAAGATGGCAAAAACAGACTGGCCAATAAACTAATTAAAAATGATCACTCTCATTTGCAGTCCAGAAATATTAAAAGTGATAGACACATGCATATACACTTTGAAAAATTTCAGTGCGGTTTAGCATAACTCATGTGTCAGAAGTTTTACAGCATTAAACAACAATCCTTAGTAAAAGTAAAATGCATTTTTAGGTAAAATTTCCAACAAGGACATATAGTTAATTCTGGAAATCAGAAGCCCTAAAGAGAAAATGAGAGTTCCAAAAGGAACCCCGAGAATAAATAACCAAATGATATTCAGGAAGCATCAGAAAAGACTCATCAGGTACTTCCAGAAAGTTTAGACATTTCTCTAAACCACTATTTTCTTAAATTTTAATTTTTATTAGTATATATTTGCAGTACATAATGGTTGCATTTATCATGGGGAGTTGGTACATGTACATAATACATCTTAATTCTTTTTACATCCCCTTCCTCTCCCCTCCTTCCATTTCTTGGCCCCATTCCACTTGCAAAAGGTCTGTTTCTCTATTTCCTATTATCATCTTTTATTTTGGATTACCAGTGAGTTTTCATGTGAGACAAAGGGGCAGGAGTTCTGTATGAATAGGTTGAAGACTCCATGTTTTTCACAGCAGCTGCTTTAACAAAGCATAGAATTTGATCTTTAAAGTGGCAGCAGATGTGAAGAGTCCCTGCCTTTCCCTTTGTTTCTAGCACATAATCGCAATGATATTCCATAATTCTATTTTTCATGCTTTGGATGAAGGCCTGGGCAACCATTAAGCCACTGAAAGCCACGTCCTAATTCTCATTAATTCTGTTCTAGGCTGGCTGTGACCATAATTATATAGGAAAACTATATGTCAATCTTTTTACAACACTCCCATCAATGCCTGCTGCTACTCACCAGAATTTATTTAATTAAATATTTAATAAATATTAGGCTACTATGCACTGGGCACTATCCAAAACGGTCATATAATTGGTATATCAAATCAAGAATATTTGACTGTTAATTCAGATTATCTAACATGAGTGATTGGCAATAAATAAGACTAGAACATTACCTGAGGAACATTTCTTATTCTAGATTTCTTTGTCTCAATGTGTTTTCATTTTGCAAGTGAGGTATTTCCCTTCCAAAACAGTCACAAGGGATAAAGTTGAACAGGTAGAAAAGTGCCTTCTCTGGCCACACTAGAGTTTTATCCAGATTACAATGGAAATCCAGTGAAGAAGCTGAAGAAAGGAAAGAAAATCTTAAAATTAAAAAGTATAGACTAGGGCCAGGGATTTAGGTCAGTGGTCCCACTGCCTGCCTCGCAAGTGTAAGGTCCCAAGTTTGATCCCCACTACAGACAAAAAAAAAATATATATATATATATACTAAAGCCAAGTTTTAAAATTGGAAGCTGGGTGTGGTAGTGGACACCTGTAATCCCAGCTTCTCAGGAGTCTGAGGCAAGAGGATCCCAAATTTGAGTCTGGGAAACATAGCAACTTAGAGTGACCCTGTCTCAAAATAAAAAATAGAAAGGGGGCGGGGGTGGAGCTCAGTCATGGAGTGCTTGGCTAACATGCACAAGATCCTGGGTTCGATCTCTAGCACTGTGAAAAAATTTTAAAAAGAGAAAAAAGAAATTGAAGCTGAAGAGAGGGTAGGACAAGGGAAATGAAAACATATACACAGAGATGCATATGAATGTTTTTACTAGGATTATTCATAATTGTCAAAAAATGAATATTGTTCAAAGAAAATGCATGAACCAATGAATGAACATGTACTATATCCATACAATGAGGTGCTAGTCAGCAATAAAAAGGAATAAACTGTGAATACACACTCCAAACAATAAACCTCAAAAACATGTGTTCAAGTGAAAGACGCCAGACATAAGATGCCACATATTGCACCGTTCCATTTAAATGAAATACCCAGAACAGGCAAATCTATAGGCAGAAGGTGGTTCATGGTTGCCCGAGGAGTGCTTTGGGTGGGTAGAGGTAAACAGGTATGGGGAATTAACTATGAATGTGCATGAGAGATCAGACTGTTCTGATGAAAGTGTCCTAAAACTGATTGGTGGCAATGGTTGCATAACTTGGTACATTTACTAAAACATTGAATTGTATCCTTGAAAAGGGTGAATTACATGATTTGCCTCAATAAAGTTGTTTTTTAAATATTTTATTAAATAAAGTTATTTTAGCAGAGAAAGTAGGCAACAAACGTATGGCATAAGAGTGTTTAAAGGGACAGTTGAGATGAATAACATGCATGGCTTCTGGTCCGCAGGCCTCCTCTGTTTTTAATCCTCAGGTCTTCAGGGGCTTCCTGCTTGGGAACAGGGCATCCACTTCAGGCAAATGAACTGACTCTGAGCCAAGCTGACACTGCCTCGAACACTGCTTTGAACTGTGTATCCCTCTTCTCATAACTAGATGTTGTCCTTGAGAGCTTCTTTCTCCAGTGTTAACCTAAAAGGATCTCACATTACTTTTTGACAGATCCCTTCAGTGACCTGAACCCAGAGCCTTCTACTACAATCCCTCCACCACCACTGCTGACCACCTGGCAGTCTGGCTGGACACTCTGACAGCCCTGGACTACATTCCCAGCCTTTTTGTATTTTTTACTTTGACACAGGGCCTCACTAAGTCACTAAATTGCCCAATCTGGACTCAAACTTGGAATCCTTCTGCCTCACCACCACCACCCCACCCCCGTGCTGGGATTACAGGTGTGTGCCACCATGCCTGGCTCATTAACACGCCCTTAATGATGAACTGCCTCCCTTTGCCTGCAGGTGAGAGAGATGATGGGATACAATAACATTATGTTCTGGTGCTCAACCTTGCACGAGTTACTTTTAACCTCTCTGGTCTTCAGTTTCTTCATGAATAGAACAAAGGATAACGTCTTCTCCTTTATGGGACTGCGTGAGGACAAAATGAGATAATTCACGTAAACTGCTCAGTGCAGAGCCCAATGCACTGTAAGTACACAAAGTGGGCATGTCTGCTTCTATGTCTGAGTTTCTGTCTCAGCTGAGAGACCTGAATCTCTCTAGTTCCTGACATGTGGCCACCAAACAGATTTATGGCTGCTGACTCTAGAATAATTGATAACAGCGACAGCGATGTCAGGTTGCTACTATGTGTCCTTGATAGGCTATGAGAATAGCATTTTACCCCTGTACTGTTTCTCCTTAAAACCCACAACCCCAGTCTAATTGTGAGAAAAAGATCAAATTCCAATTGTCTGATAACCAAGATGGCCAGGATCAGGCTTTTCACCTAGCCTTCCGCTTGCAAGTGAGTCAGCATGCTAAGTAGCCCGCACATGCGCGGTGAACATGTAGCCCGAGCAGTCCGTTATATAACTTTTTGGCAACTTGCCGGCCTTGTGTGCTATTGTATATAGTAAAGGAGTGGGATTTTTAAATTTTTTTTGAGTATTGCTTCCCCGTGCCGCTGAGATAGTAAAGGTATGTCAGACATCCCTCTGGCCCCACGTCTTTTCTTCAGGCTGCCTGAATCTCGAGTAAAACTTCCTGGCCTGGAGGCTGGGGATGTAGCTCAGTGGTTCTGGCACCTGCCTAGCAAGGGCTAGGTCCCGAGTTCGATCCCCGGTACCAAAAAACAAAACAAAAACAAAAAACTTCCTGGCCTGGATCCGTGGCAGAACATCTTCAAAACTGTGAAGGTCATCAAAAACGAAGAAAGTGTGATTACCAGTCACAATCAAGAAGAGCCTAAGAAGACAAGATGGCCAAAAGTGATATGGTATCCTGGATGGGATCCTGAACAGAAGAAGAACATTAAGTACAAACTGAGAAAGTTTGAATAAAATATGGACTTTAGTTACTAATAATGCATCAATATCCATTCATTGTGATAAGTGTACCATACCGATGTAAAATGTTCATAATAGGGGAAACTGGGTATGAGAATTCGGTGCTATCTTCACAACTTTTCCAAGTCTATCCTAAAGTAAAAGTTTTATTTAAAAAGAAAAAAACACAGAAATTTGTTCCCCATACATATATAATCTATTTTTGGTCTTTGTTCAATTGATCTATGTATCTATTCATACAGAGCCACATTGTTTTAACTACTGGAGTTTTATAATATATCTTGGAATCAGGTAGTGTTAGCTCTTGGTTGGTTACATTTTTTAACATTGTTTTGGCTAGTTTAGGTCCTTTGCATTTCCTTATAAACTTAGAATTAGCCTGTGAAATTCTTTTTTTTTTTTTTAAAGCTGGCTGGAATTTTGATTGTGTTGAATCTATAGGTCAACAAATTGGAGATAATTAGAGATAACTGACATCCTGACATTATTGATTCTCCTATCCCAAGGACACATGGGATCTCCAGATCTAGTAAGATCTTTTACAATTCCCCTCAGCAATATTTTCTAGCTCCTTGTGTATAGGATTTATAAATCTTTTGTCACAATTATCACAAAGTATTTCATTTTTGAAGCTATTTTAAATAGTATTGGTTTTTAAATTTCAATTTTTGTTTGTTGGTAGCATATCAAGGTAAAATTAGTTTTTACATATTGACTTTATATCCTGCAAACTTACTAAGCCACTTATTAGTTCTAATAGCTCTTTTGCAGTTTCCATAAGATTTCTTACACAGATGAACATATCTGCAAATGAAGACAGTTTTTCTTCTTCCTTTTCTTTCTCTTGCTTGATTATGTTGGCCAGAGCTGTAGGTTTTTCAAAGATGCCCTATATTTGGTTAAAGAATTCCCTCTCTATTTCTAGTTTATTAGAAATAGATGTTGGATTTTTGTTCAACATTTGTG